CTCCAATCCTGATGCCACGTTTTTCTTCATAGAACCCAGCTTCTCGTATTATTTGCTCAGCATACAGGTTGAAAGCAGACACTATTCTATTGTAATCCATAGGTTTTCATTGGCTAATTTTCAGAAGAAGAGAGCCAAGACTTTCTTCCTAGTCTACTTCGCTCTGACTAAGACAATTAAGGAAGGCACACACAAAATTCACCAGAGGAATTTTGTACCTACCACACTACTCACCAGCCACTCCTCAGAAACCCTATACAGGTCATTAAAACAGACTCGACAGCACTTATCAACAACAACACTTGTACTCCTAGTAAACCCTGAGTCAACAATACCAATTTCAGGTGGCAATGTTCTTTCAAAGCTATCTTCAAGGAATAGGTGTTTTCTTTGCTCTCTTTCTCTCTCGTAGAGATCAACCCTAGAGATCAATCCTGTCACACTATAAATGTAGACACTGGGGTTCAGAGGACTACAGTTATGCACATAGGGTCATTTGGCCAGCAGCAGAGCTTACAACTCAGACCCCAGTCTCCAAACCCCTCACCAGTTCCATTCCAAGTACATAATTGCTGCCTTTTCTTCACTAACCACAGATGTATGCAGCTCTGCCCAAAGATACTCTTTCCTCTTAGCCTGTCTTCCATAAAAATGGTTAAATTCTGCTTATCCAAAATAATCTTTTTAAAATTAGATCACTTGAATTCTCTCCCTTTCTCTCATCCTCCTTCTTTTCCATGTGCCACCCCTCTTCTCCCAGTTGTGCTTGATAGAATACCAAACAACTCAACCCCTTGCCATCAAATTAATTCCAATTTACAGCAACTCTATTAAGACAAAGGGGAGTGCTAGTGGGGTACTGTGGGTTAATGCACTGGACTGCAAAGTTGGTTTGATCCACAAAGCCGGAGGTTCAAGCTCACCAGTTGCTTCTCAGAAATCCTATCCAGGGAGGCTATAGGTTGGCACTCAACAACAACAAGAATAAGGCAAAGTAGAGTGCTGGTGTGGCACTGTAATCTAAGTACTCAATTGCAAGGTTGGTTGGAATCACAAGTTCAGTGGTTCAAACTCACTAGGCACTCCTCGGTAACTCTACAAGGATCGCAATGAGTCAGAATCTACTTGATGGCATTTAACAACAACAACAAAAAACAAAGTAGAACTTCCCCATAGGATTTCTTAAGCTGTAATCGTTAAGGAAGCAGATTGTCATATCTTTCTCACGCAGTGACTAGTGGGTTTCAACTATCAACCATACAGTTATCAGCCAAACACTTAACCCTGACCCACTGACCTACCCAACAGGGCTCCCTTCATGATAGGATATGGTTGTTGTTATGTGCAGTGGAGTCAGTTCTGACTCATAGTGACCCTGTACAGGGTTTCCAAGGCTGTAAATCTTTATGGGAGCAGAAAGCCTCATCTTTCTCCCGCAGTACACCTGGGTAGTTTAGAACTGCTGACCCTGAGGTTAGCATCCCGATTCGTAACCACTATGCTACCCGAGCTCCTTTATGATAGGATGTTCTTGTTATTGTTGTTAGGTGCCATCTAGTTGGTACCAACTCATAGTGACCTTATGCACAGCAGAATGAAACACTGTCCGATCCTGGGCCAACCTCACAATTGTTGTCACACTTGAGTCCATCGATGTGGCCACTTGTCCAACCCATCTCGTTGGGGGTCTTCCTCTTTTTCTCTGACCCTCCACCTTACCAAACCTGATATCCTTCTCCAGTGACTGGTCCCTCCTGACACTATGTCCAAAGTATGAGAGATGTGAAGTTTGGCCATCCTGGCCTCCAAGGAGCACTCTGGCTGCACTTCTTCCAACACGGATCTATTGGTTCTTTTGGCAGTCCATGGCACTTTCAATATTCTCCTCCAACACCATAACTCAAATGTGTCAATTCTTGTACCAGAAATTACATTTCACAAGAGTTCCTGATTAGAGGAGGCTCCTCAAAATATCCATATATTTCATTTTAAAAAGTTACAATTTTTGTGTTTGTGGTACTATAGGATAAGCACCAGACTGCTTAACTGTAAAGTCTGCAGTTCAAACCCATCAACCACTCCTTGGAAATATACAGTGTCACTATGAGTCACAACCAACTTGATGACACTTAATAACATTAGAAGGTAGCATGGCATAGTCTTCTACTCCCTAACCTTTAAGAGGAAAGGACAGTGGCTCTCTAGGATAAGCACTGGACTACAAATCACAAGGTCAGCAGTTCAAGCCCACCAGCTGCTCTGTGAGAGAAAGATGAGGTTTTCTGCTCCCCAAAAGATTTGTAGCCTAGGAAACCATATACAGTGTTGCCATGAGTCAGAGCTGACTTGACAGCACTTACTACTGTGGAACCTTTAAGAATGCAGTAAATAATGGCTTATTTCTACACAAATCTCTTTACAGAAAAGATATTATTAATGTACACTTGGGTGAAATAAACAGTTTTCAGGTAAATGATTCTGACTGCATGTTAATTTCATTGAATAAAGTTTCTATTTTTTTCAGAGTATAGAATAGAAAATTATATATTGATAATGTCTCACCTCTAATTCCTCAGCCTGTTCAGTGTTGTCTTCTTCAGAGCCACTGGTTTTAGGCAAGTAAGTCATTTTCAATCTCAGATGACCTTTAACTCTTGATTTGTGACTGCAGACGAGAAAATAATTACAAAAGTTAACACTGATATTAAAGTATGATATGATATATTTACTTAGGTTTTTCTAGGGTGCAGCAGATCCGAGTCCTGGTGTAGCACTGTGGGTTAATGCACCAGACTGAAAAGCTGTTTGAACTGCAAGGTTAGCAGTTCAAGATCCTCAGAAATCCTCTACAGGGTCTCTGTGGGTCGGAACCGACTTGACGGCACTTAACAACAACAACATTATGCAGATGTCACAACTGCTTTACGCCTTGCATCTAAAATTAAAGGAAGGAAAAATATTTGCGTTTCAGACTTCTATAGAAATTAAATCTGTTACTTCTCTTAAGAGTAAATACTAACACAGTACAGAGAAACTGTGCTTTGCTTTAATGTTTATATAACAGAATAACTTAAAAATGAAAATCTTTACTAAGTTCCAATACTGTATTTTTTTAATGCATTTTCTAATTTAACAAACAAGAAAAATACTTTTGTTTTCACAGATGTCCTTCCGCTTTTCTTTGACCTTTTTGACTGTAAACCAACACATGTGTTTTGACAAGATTTTACTTATTTTATGTGGCACAGAAGATCAAAAAGAGTTTTATTTACAGCTTAAACTTATAAATTTTCATAAAAATCAAGTCATTTAGTGAAGGAAAATGGAATTATTAGTATTATTTGGGTTTTAAATTCCAATCTTGGCTCATATTATTTTCTGCAAATATTTGACTTCTCTGAGATAACTTTTAGTATAGAGTATGCAAAATATAGTTAGGTTTTCTGAAATTGGTTTTGTGGGTATCAAGTGAGATACTGGTTTTAGATAAACTGCTGTTTATGATCCTTTTAAAGCAGTCTGATAAAAATGAGACATACTTCAAGGTAAAAATAAACATAATGACAAACTTCAGTCTTTGACAAATATTAGGTGGAAAATATTTCTCATAGGAATAGGGTCAGTTTTCTGTATTACCTGAAAAATCTTGCAATGTGCATATTACCTTTTCCATCATAAATAATAAAACTTAAAAAAACAACAACAAAACATTCACAAATAACTTGTCTACAAAGGTTTAAACACTGAATTTACAAAAGAGGCCACTTAAGATATAATGGACTAATAAAGAACATAATAATATGTTATTATTTTATATTTACTAACCTTCTTGGGTGAAGAACAAAATCCTTAAATGTATAAGGTCGCTCCATTCTTGGATTTTCTGTCTAGAACAAAACATGGGCTTTCAGGATATATCTCAAACACCAAAAATGTGTATATTTCTCAAGAATATTCATGAACTATGTGGTCTAGAGCACAAATGAAACTTAAAATAAAAAATAAATTTAGTTTATTAGATGTTTTCAAGCAGTAATTTGTCACACTTCCACTTTCCTGTTTAATATAAAGTACAGATAACATCACAACTCAATCTGCAGGGCATTGAATGGATAGGTTGTCATAGAAGGTAGAAGAGAATAGGCGGAAAATAGTAGAATCATTAATTACTGAATTGGCACCCAAAGGAATACAGAAAATGTACAGTGTCAGTAGGTTTATTTGGTTAGAGACAATTCTAGAAGATCACAACAATAAAGAGTCTGGAAAGTAAGGTTGGAATAAATATGTTATGAAAACTTTACGATCTCTAAAGACTACGTAGTTGTCGGTAAAGCTGTCGAGTTGGTTCCAACTCATAGCAACCCTGTATAATGTTTGAAGGTGTAGCTGGTGCGTTTAAACTGCCAACCTTGTGGTTAGCAGTCCAGTGTTTATCCTGCAGTGCCACACCAGGAGTCTAAAGACTATAGAGATCCAATAAATGACCTAAAAAGACCAATATTCTTTTCTTTCTTATCAAGTTCAGCAGTCCCAAGTGCTGTGAGTTAATGTGCTGGACTGCAAAGTTGGTTTGAACCACATGGTTGGTGGTTCAAACTTACTAGCTGCTCCTCGGAAACCCTATACGGGGTCACTATAGGTCAGAACCGACTTGATGACACTTAACAACAACTTCTTTGCTAATAAAAACAGGGACTATTGCATTTGCTTCATTGTGATTGGATCCACCATCAACACTCATGAAGTAGCAGTCAAGAAATTAAACGACATACACCTTTAAGCAAATCTGCTGCACACAAGCTCTTTAAAGTGTTCTAGAGCAAAGATGTAAGTGTGAGGACTAAAGTGTGTCTGACCCAACCCATGGTATTTTCAATAACCTCATAGGCATGTGAAAGTTGGACAGTGAATAAGGAAGAAAGTAGAAGAATTGATGCATTTGAGTTATGGTGTTGGGGGAGAACATTAACAGTGCCATGGACTGCCAAAAGAACAAACCAATCTGTGTTGGAAGAAGTACAGTCAGAGTGTTCCTTAGTAAAAGTCAAGATGGCCAGACTTCGTTTCTCCTATGTTGGACATATTATCAGGAGGGACCAGTCCCTGGAGGATATCATACTTGGTAAAGTGGAGGGCCAGTGAAAAAGAGGGGGACCCCCAGCGAGATATGGCATCAGAAGTGGGCTCAAGCATAGCAACAATTGTGAGAATGGCACCGGAGCGGGGCAGTATTTCACTCTTTTGTATATCGGGTGGCTATGGAACTGACTTGAGGTAACAGTAGAATCTCTGAGGATGATTGGCTCTTCAAATAATAGAAATGTGAGGTAAGGGTCAAGCCATGAACCTTAGTCAGTATGGGTGTATCAGAGAAAAAGGAAAGCAGAGGAGGGGAGATAGGAAGTGTAAAATTATGTTACAAAAGGTAAAATTATGTTACAAAAATTTAAGAAAATAATTCCAAGATGGAAAGAATAGTTAACAATGCAAAATATAGCAGAAAGGTGAAACCTTTCAATCTCTCTAGTCCCTTAACTCCATGTAATTAATCTTCATATCTCTGTCAGTTGCCCATTTAAAATTTTTATTTGTCTTGTTTTTCTACTTTAAGTTATTCAATAATAACTTCTTTATATTGCAAAATAAAATGGCTTTGTGTCTCAACTTTTCTACTTGAGACACCACCTTATCTACCGGTTTCAACTTGTATTATCTTTATGCTTTATTTAAACCTCATTCAACCTCCATGTCAGACATGAAGTCCAATAATGATTTATTCTGGTAGGTTTTCTGAATCTGTTTCCTTTATTGGTAAAGCCTAGTTAGATTCTATGTTTCATGCTTATATATCGTTGTAAACTATCTGAGCTTCCTTCTTTGATCCTCAGCTCTCTCCATCCAAACTATTTAGTAGGGTATTTCCATGCTCATCTTCTTTAAACAATTATTTTCATGATGTCAACAAATTTCAGTGGCTCTCTATTTCTGACTGGGTTTGTCCTGGAGATAAAATTCAAATGAAAAAAAATTGAGATTATGTTTCTAGAAGATAACATTCTCAAGAATTAATTAACAGTATACATTTTATAAACCAATATTTATATTACTGTATCGTGGACTTAAAAGTATTAAATTAAAAAAAACAACAAAAAACACAAAAAGTGAAAGCATGGACATCTGTACCAACCGGTAATGGATAAAGAGGAACATCCACTTGACCTAGGAAATCATCTCTTGTCTATAAGAGAAGGAAGAAAACTTACGATTAGTAAATACGGTCAGTTTCCTTTTTTTTTTTCCTTAAATGTTTTATTGTGAATTATGTGATAGTTTACATGGGAGAACATTAGTTTTACATTCATTCTATCGTATATTGTCTCATTGCCATGGTTACAATCCCCTCCATGCAATCTTTCCCCCGTAACCCCCAGGTCTTCAGCACACAGTCACTCTCCCTCTCTGGATCTAAAGTCTCCAGCTGCTCCATCGCTCCACGTCATCATCTCTGCCTCCATTTCAGGCATTACTGCTTCTCTGGGTAGGGTCCCGCTCTGCTCTTCTCCCTTGATGGTCCTAGGGACCTCTGCTCCTAGACTGAAAAGTTAATCACTCCCCTCCTTGCTAGAAAACAACTACCTTTACATTTCCAACCCTCACAATCAGTCCTGATAACAATTATTCACTATTGTATCACAAGAGACCCAAATACGATCAGTTTCTTCAGAAGATTTTGATGAGTTATTGACATCATTCAGAGAATATTCAGGAAGTTTCAAAAAACTCGGTGTTATATGAATGGAAAATCAAAGGTAATGTGGTACAATGTTTGGTAATGACAGAATAGGATACATTATACGAATCCTTCTGAAGATAACAATTGTATATTCTGACAATATACCAAAAACAAACTCCTATTTGAAGGTACCATAGAGTGGCTAAATGCAAGCAGAAACTGCAAGGGAACCAGTCCCTGTTAAGAAGGTATTGCACTGGGTAGGGTTCACATAAGACACCATTATGAAATGAAAAAGACATATCACAAAACTGGAAGAAAATAATTGTAATATACAAAAGGCCTTCAAAAACTCTGGGGGGAAAATCCATTTTTCCATGAACTTTTTGAAGCCCCCTCCTATGAGTGTATCACAAAAGACTTGTATCCAGAAATTGTAATTAATTCCCATAAATAAACATAACCTGGTAAAAAATGGAAAATGAAGCCTCACTAATTAGGTTAATTCTGCAATGTATTCCTATTCCTGAATATGAGTTAATGTCACTATTTAAAATGGACAAGTTAGCTTTTTACTTATACTTTCAGGACTGTGCTATGATATTTCTTTATTCTTATGTTAATTCTAAGCTTCTGTTAATATTCCATAACCTTTATTTTTAAGAAGCTAAGGAGTCATGGTAGAATATTGGGTTGTGAGCTGGGCTGCTAACCAGAAGCTCAGCAGTTTGAATCTACCAGCCTCGGAAACCCTATATAGGGTGTCTCTATGAGTTGGAATGGACTCAATGGCACATAACCACCACCAAAAGTAAGTAAGACAACAAAATCTCAATTCAGAAAAATGACTGAGGGATGCGGTTTTTTGGTTTAATTAAATGATCTAGATTCCAGAAAAAAAAAGAACTAACTTTTTTTTGGTTCAGTCTTATTGAGTAGCTTTGTCCTTAGTAGAAGGAGTCTTGATGACATAGAGGTTAAGCACTCAGCCACCAACCAAATGGTCAGTGATTCAAACTCACCAACTGCTCTGTGGGAGAAAGATGCAGCATTCTGTTTTCATCAAGATTTACAGCCTTGCAACCCTTATTGGGACAGTTCTCTGTCAATGTGAGTTGGAACCGACTTGCAGGCAACAGGAATGATTTGAGGGTTTTTTTTTGCCCTTAGTAAATAGAGTGCATTGTACATGTATGTGTTTGATGAGTCATGACTTTGCAGAACCTCAAAAGCATATAGCTGTGATCAATTACCTCTGGAGTAAAACAAAACAAAACAATTAATTAGCTTTGGCACAATTACTATTTGGGGGTCAGATAATTCTTATGGAGGGCTGTCCTGTACATTATAGGATGTTTACTAGCATCCCTGGCCTTTATCTGCTAGAGCTCAGTAGTACCCCTCCTCTAGATGTGACAAATGTCCTCTGTGGGGAAATATTATCCCTCAATTGAAAACTACTACCACCGAAAGTATTAGAGTATCTCAATCACTCTACAAAATCCTCTCTTTCCTTCTTTTTAAATAACAGCTTTACATACCATGCAATTCATTCATTGAAAGTGGTTTTTCAGTTTTAAGAAATATTTTCTCAGAGTTGTGCAACCACTGCTTAATCAATTAGAACATTTTCACTATCTCAGAAAGCAACCCTGTACTTAATAGCAGTTGCTCCCCATTTCCGTCTACTTACCCCTAACACTCTCTAATTCTAGGCAACCACCAAACCATTTCTCTCTGTAAGAATCTGCCTATTCTGAATATTGTATAAGAATGGAGTCACACATATATCCTTTGTGACTGGCTTCTCACTCAGTGCTAGAAGGGTTTCAAAAAGTTCATGGAAAAATCCCATTACCTTTACATTTCCAGTTTCCTATTAACTTTCTGAAGCTTCCCCCTCTACATCCCCTGCTGCAATGTTTTCAGGATTCATCCATGTTGTGGATGTATCAATAAAGTATTTAATTGTATGATGTCATTTTATTTAGTCATTTATCATGGACAGCTGAATTGTTTCTACTTTTTGGGTATATGCTATGATGAACATGCATGTACAAGTTTTTGTGTGGACATAGGTTTCATTTCTCTTGGATATGTATTTAGGAGTGGAATTCCTGGGCCATATGGCAACTTTGTCTAGCCTTTAAAGGAATTAACTGCCCATTTTCCAAAGTGCATGCTGTGCTTTACCAATCCCATAACCCTATGAGAAATGTATGAGGGTTGCCAATTATCTTTTATTATTATTATTATTATTATTATAAACCTATTGGGAGTCTTGGTGTGGCACTGTAGGATAAACACTGGACTGCTAACTGCAAGATCAGTGGTTCAAATCCACCAGGTGCTTCTTGGAAACGCCATACACAGGGTCCCTATGAGTTGGCGCCATCTAGACAGCACTTAACATTACGTGGGTGTGAAAGGAGCTCTAGAGAGATCTTTCAGTTTGAACCCACCAGCAGCTCAGCCGCTTCCAGTAAACATTACATCTAGGAAACCCTTTGGGGCAGTTCAGTTCTGTGCTATGTGTTGGAACCAACCTGATGACAACAGATTTGCTGTGGTGGGTGTTGAAGAGGTGTTTCACAGTTTTGATTTGCCATTTCCCTGATGACAGATGTTGTGCATCTGGGTTCCTTATTTCTTAAAATCTATTAGCTTATACATCCCCTTTTCCATCTCATCTTCACTGCAGAGGCTGGGTCTGGTCATTGCAGCGCAGAAAGAAAAACTATTCCCTGAACAGTTGTTGATAGGTACTGTGAGTTAGTTCCAACTCATAGTGACACTATGCACAACAGAACAAAACACTGATCTATTCTGTACCATGGCTTTCGAGTCCACTGCTGTTGCCACTGTGTCATTCCATCTTTTAAGGGGGTCTTCCTCTTTTTCTCTGACCCTCCACTTTGCAAGCCTGAGTCTTTTTCCAGGGACAGGTTCCCTTCTGGTAACATGTCCAAAGTACAAGAGATGAAGTCTTGCCATCCTGGTTTCTAAGGGGAATTCTGACAGCACATGTTCCAATACAAATTTGTTTGTTCTTCTGGCAATCCATGGTAATTTCAATATTGTTCTTTACCACCATAATTCAAATACATCGAGTTTTCTACAGTCTTCCTTACTTACTATCCAAATTTCACATGTATATGGTGGTAGTGGTTATGTGGCATGGAGTCGGTTCCAACTCATGGTGGTGATGGTTTCCAAGGCTACAAATCTTTAAGGGAGC